AAGGTATATATTCCGATTTTGTTTTTTGACGACTTTTAAGCTTGGGTTGTTAATTTTTAATGTTTTTAATCTGCTTTAGCATCTATTAGATTGAGCTGAAGTTTATCATTTTTAACTATGCATTTCACTTCCCAGAATAAGAACTTTTGAGCTTGGGTTGTTTATTTTTAAAGTTTGAATAAGAATATTTGAAAATTTATGATCTGTTTGAGTATTCTAAATTCCTTAATACTCGATTTGAAACAGATTGTTTTCAAACATCATTTAGTTTGATAAATTAAAGGAACTCATGTGATGTAATGAAAACAGATTGTTTTGAGCTTGGGTTGTTATCCTATACCTAAAAGCACTACGTGCTAAGGAAAAAATTTTCCTGCCTATGCGTAATTTCACTTATCCGCACAAAGTCTCCGCAATTAGTTTGACTTATTTCGTAATTTGACTTATCCGCACAAGTCTCCGCACCAAACGCCACTCCAGCTTCCGTCTTCTAAGCTCTTCTCAGACATTCACCCTAACTACGATTCTTCATCTCCTCACCAAACGTCCGCACCAAACGTCCGCAGTTCCTACAATTTCACCAAAACTACAATTCTTCATCTCCGCACCAAATCTCCGCACCAACCGCCACGCCAGTTTTCATCTCCACATTTCTCAGAATTTCACCCAAACTAGAATTCTTCAATACCTCAAACTCAGAATAATATCTTCACTACTATATATACAGATGAAGATCGATGCGGTTCATACTCTCGCTCCACACAAGGTATTTTGTAATTCTTCTTTTTCTATATTTATCGTTCACTTATTTCTGATAACTCGGTGCCTGCCGTCCTGCTACCTGTGTTTCCAGAAATCCAACCGACGAAATGATAGTCGGAGACAGGCGAGGAGACTGGACTATTGCAACTGCCCGTGTGTGAATTCAAGGTATATATTCCAATTTTGTTTTTTTGACGACTTTTGAGCTTGGGTTGTTTATTTTTAAAGTTTTTAATCTGCTTTAGCATCTATGCAACTGCCCGTGTGTGAACTCAAGGTATATATTCCGATTTTGTTTTTTGACGACTTTTAAGCTTGGGTCGTTAATTTTTAATGTTTTTAATCTGCTTTAGCATCTATTAGATTGAGCTGAAGTTTATCATTTTTAACTATGCATTTTGAAATAACTCTCATTCATGAAGAGCTGCGGTATAATAAATCGTATCTGATTGAGGAGCATGCAAAGTTGTTGGCCAAGATGACAGATGAACAACGTGTTGTGTATGATAGGATAATGGAATCTGTAGATAGTAGAAACGGGAAATTCTACTTTTTATATGGCCACGGAGGAACTGGGAAAACATATCTATGGAGGACTTTGTCTGCGGTTGTGAGATCTCGCGGTGATATAGTTCTTAACGTGGCTTCAAGTGGTATAGCATCGCTTCTCTTGCCTGGAGGAAGAACCACACATTCGAGGTTTGCGATTCCACTTAGTGTTGTAGAAGACTCCACGTGCAACATAAAACATGGTAGTCCGTTGGCCAAGCTGATAGAGTTATCTAAGTTAATTATATGGGATGAGGCACCTATGACGCACAGACACTGTTTTGAAGCTCTTGATCGGAGTATGAGAGACGTGCTTCGTTACTCCAGCCACTGTGACACTACCTTGCCTTTTGGTGGGAAGACGATTGTATTTGGTGGTGATTTTAGGCAAATTCTTCCTGTGATACCAAAAGGCACGAGACAAGATATCGTGCACGCCGCACTGATCAGTTCATTCTTGTGGTCACATTGTACTGTAGTGAGCCTTACTAAAAACATGAGGCTAGCAAGGATGCTCGGCCAGCCGGATGGACCAACTATCCAATCTTTTGCAGAGTGGATTTTGAAGATTGGTGACGGAGCTTTTGCTGAAAATCAAGACGGAGAATCACTAATTGAAATACCAGACGATGTGATTGCTCCAATGACGTCTGATCCTGTTGAATCTATAGTTCAAGTTATTTATCCAGATTTCTTAACCCAGGGTGATCCGATTAATTATCTTTATTCCAGGGCTATTCTTGCTCCAACCATAGATGAGGTTGATAAGGTCAACGATTACATGTTGAGCCAGATAGATTCAGAGTTAAAGACATACCTAAGCTCAGATTCAGTTTCTTCATCCGACTCGGATAGTAATGATCTCTTGCATGAGATACATTCTCCTGAATTTCTTAATAGCATCAAATGTTCTGGCTTGCCGAGTCATGAGCTCAAGCTGAAAGTTGGAGTTCCTGTGATGCTTATGAGGAATATCGATCATTCATCTGGATTGTGCAACGGCACACGACTTCTGGTCACTAAACTTGGAACTCATATTATTGAGGCTCAGATGATGCACGGAGAAAATGCCGGCGAAAAATTTCTTATTCCCCGCCTTACTTTGACACCATCGGACATTAGTCTCCCGTTCACTTTTCAGCGTAGGCAATTTCCGTTAATGGTTAGCTATGCCATGACCATCAACAAGAGCCAGGGACAGTCATTGGAAAAGGTTGGCATCTTCCTCCGTCGTCCTGTTTTTACGCAGGGACAGTTGTATGTGGCTGTCTCGAGAGTAACAAGTCCGTCTGGGTTAAAGTTTGTTATATGTGACGAAGAAGGGAAACCAAAGAAGTCAGCGTTGAATGTAGTATACAAAGAAGTTTATACTAATTTGTAGTTCCCTTGCTTTACATGCATACATCCATACTCATTGCTAGCATATCACTTCATGATATGTACTTAACTTTTAGCATTATTTTTTAATGTCGTATTAAATATGAATACTTATTTTATTTTATTGTTTAATGTGATTAGTTTGTTTTAGTTTTTAATTTTATGTTTTGAGTTAGGTTAATTGACTATGAAATTCTTTGAGTTTATATTTGGTTGATCCAAACATCTCACTCCCGTGCGTAGCACGAGTGGAATTACTAGTTTAACTTGATAGAGCGTGTAAGTAATGCCAATGCTGTATAGACTTTAAAAATATCACCTTCAAAAGTTAGAAACCAGTTCTATCTATATAAAAATCAGTGCCGGACCCAGAAAATCAGGGTCATGAACTCCCTCCTTAATGTAACTCTAACTAATAAAAAAAGAAGTAAAATATTAAGAGCCCGTTTGTTGACCTTGTTTTTCGACTTATCAAGCTTATTAACCAACTTATTCACATAACACGTAACCTTTGAATTTCACGCACTGAATTGTCTAATAATAAGAAAAAAATAAGGTTAGAATTACTTTTCTAGTTGTATTGACTGAAGTTACTGTATAAAATCATTTTAGTTACCTTTCATATAATTTTTTCTTTATTTTATTAGTAAAATATATTTTAAATATTTTTTTCATAGATTTAGTAGAATTAGTCAATCGAATCATTTCAACCAGAATTTCATAAATTTCAGTAGAATCCGTCGGCCGATTTGAGTATTAGCAAACAGGCTTTAAAGTAGCATAACGTTTCACAGTTAACGTACATTATCAAAATATTAAGATAGTCATAACACACAAAATTACATATATATTTCATTCTACAAATGTACCTTCTTAGGTTTCAACATGTTCTTGTAGATAATTAGTCAAATTAATTTCACATTCAACAATAATATGATCCAATTCTTCATTTAATTCTTCATTTAATAATGGCGAATCATTTCTTTAAATCAAGGTACACACACTATCAAAATATCTTTTCATTCTAAATCGTAAAATATTGAAAAAACTATTCATAAATATCATACATTTAATAATTGAATCCTAATACTCAAAGAAATTTTAATAATGAATCCAAAAAATTGAATTATGTAAAAGTGTAAACTTCAAAATAATGATCTTTTACAATTATAAATTTAAAAAACAAAAACTGGGCACAAGAGGAAATCGAACCCAGGACCTCCGTGAAAAAGAAACCTAAGTATCAATTCTGCTACCATCCGTCCCCTGCTTTCCTTTGCATCCATACCATCTTTTTTAGTACTTGTACATATTTGAGTACATTTAATATAAAATATATATAATATATATAGTTATTTTTTTGGAGGTTCATGGGGTCCCGGGACCCGTGGGACCCTTAGTGGGTCCGCCACTGATAAAAATAATACAAACATATTTCCAGTCACGAAAAATGATGACGTTATGGTCATAGGTGAATTTGAATTTTAAAGTTAGAATTATAGTTGGTCTATAACTTAATACTCCCTCCGTCCCCAAAAAAATCTTCCCAATTTGACTTGACACACATATTAAGAAAGTGGAATAAAGTGGAAATGTATGGTTGTAGTTGTGTAAGAAAAAGATAAAATGAATGTGAACCACACAAATTGTCCATAAATAATAAGTGAAAAGATTTTTTTGGGACGGCCCAAAAAGGAAAGTGAGAAAATTTTATGGGATGGAGGGAGTAATTGACAATATTATTTCCACTTTATAAACAAAAAATAAGAACTGATGTCGTTGACAGGTTGAATATTTTATCAAAAACTTGTTCGTGTTGTTTTAATTTTGTAGATTAAAATCAGTTGGCTATCAAATTATATTTTTTAAATTTGAATTAATTTAGTATAGAAACTTGTTATTCATCCCCAAAACTATTTTTGGGATTAAGACTTGGATGATGTTGTTGTAAACTTGTTCATTTCCAAATATAGAAAAATCATTAGATATTTTAATTACTATTTTAAAAGAAAACTAGAGGTCATTCTCGCTAAATGATCAAGGGAATTTTTTACTTCATCAAATCATATGGTTGTCAAACATGGAGAACTGTTTCAGAAACAAATTTACTTCCAAATTCAAACAAACGACTACTCCCTCCATCCCGCTAAGATTGTCTCATTTTCTTTTTTGATCTGTCTCTCTAAAATTATCTCATACTAATAAGTTCGTATGTGATTATAAATCTTTCTTACTTTATAATTTAATACGAAGTACTAACCACTCAAAATCACTTTTCATGTACTCCATACCAAATTAGGGGGATGGAGGGAGGAGTATTAGATAACAGTTCTTAGTAAAATACGGAGCATCTATTTTTTAACTAACCGACTTGAGATACAAAACAAAACAAAAAAGAGAATACCTCTTAGGTCCTGGACTCCTGGTCCATGTCAATCAAGTAGCCCACCAATACTTATGCAGAGAATGAGGTGGCGCAAGCAGTATCTGAGAGGAAGGAAGTTGGATTCCCTCATGAAGGCATTCAACCCTCTATAAATGAGAAAATAGAGTATGGAGTGGCACTAGAGCTTCTTCGCACTGGTCCACCATTTTTGGCAAAACATCAGTGCCGGCCTATTTGAGAAGCTCAAATACCAGAGTTTAAAAGACATACTAAAGCATTGCAAAAGAAAGTTGAAAACACACATAGGAAAGCAAGGATTGCCTAAGCACACCTTCAAAGAGTAGGACAACACAAACATCACAAAAGGTAAAGACAACAGAGTGACAAAGTCTTTGATTAAATTGCAACATTGATACCACCCCTCTGTTTAGGCAATGGGAAGGAACACACAAATCATCTTTTCTTGAACCCATATTTTTTACGCTCATAGAAAAGATCAGTTTTGGCACTTCCAAGATTGACTATTTTGGGGCAGCCATCACGGTCCTTCTCTTGCTGAGTACACTCTTTGCAGTAATAGGCATCAGAAATGCCAACCCCTCCACAGATGACGCAGCGACCCTGGAAAGAACCATAGTTGCATTCATCACAAACACGGACCAGCGTGCAAGGCCGCACATATGAATCACAAATGACACATTTCCCATCACATTTCTCGCAGAGCCGTCCAATTGCTATTCCTGGCTGCTTCCGGCACATGATCAGGTCAGGGTGATGCTTGGCCATTCTTCCCGCAACACAATATTATGATATCTAAGCAGCAGAGATTAAAAGCACCTTAAAAATGTATTCTCTTTAAAAAAAACAATAAATATAGGAAAAATATCAGGGAGCGTGTAAAACAAATTCAAGACGTGGAGAAGCTTGCAGGAGGTTCGGAAAGCACACTGGAACATGAGGCTATAAAAATTAACAAATTATACACCCTGCGACTAAAGGCAACTCGACAGAATGGAATGACATTTCATCGAGCATGTAATCGACGCTTCCATTGTACTGCCAATTAAAATATATCGAAACCTCCGTAAAATTAACTATTCCGCATATGCAAAAAACATGTGAGTAATTGGATAAGAATCTACTTCAAGCTGGAGGAAAAAAACTAGGAAGTATATTCAATAGAATTAAAGAAAGGATCGGTCCTAGTAATACGTCGAAACCGTGCTAAAAAGCCTTATACTTCAGAACGAATTCGCGAAATAAGTTCAAGGAAACAAATTTTACCTCAAACTCTCTGTCAAAAGATCAAGATCTATACCAGTTCTACTCTGAGGCCTGAGGGAAACAATACGACGAACTTGAGGTCAATTAAACCTGCTTATTGAGTAAAAAAATGGTTTTGTGATGGAGCCAGAAACTCATCGAGCGGTTAGGCGGCTTGAGGGTGTACACAAAATTTATGGGGCCGTTTGAAAAAGTTTTAAGAGAATAAGGGGTATTAAAATGGTATCCAACAAATTAAATTATGCACTACTATACTATTGGCTATGTTGCTTTGAGGGCATCTTCAACGGTGAATTGTAGTCATATAGCATATGGAAGAGATAGATGGAATTGATATTTTAATTTTATTATAAATGAAGTGGTTTGTAGGAAAAATTGAAAAAGACGAGAGAGATAGAGATAAAAACTAGAGTTGGTTCTATGAAAGGTTCACAAATGTACCTTACACAGGATTCGAGAACAAAAAGTACACGAAAAGTGAGTTAAAAGTCATAAAATGAAAATGAACAAAATTTACTACGTAGGAAATATGTGGGTTCTACACATAAAAATTGTGAGATGAAAAGTGAGACTTATATGTAGGGATGCAAATGAGCTGAGTCGCTCATGAGCTGCTCGATCAAAACTCGAATCGAGTTCGGTCAAACTCGAGCTCGAGCCGGCTCGTTAAGCAGTCGAGACATAAACGAGCCTACTAATTTTAGGCTCGCTAGCTCGCGAGCCTAGTTTTATATGTGTGTATGTTTATATATTTAATATATATATGATATTAATATTAATATAATTTAGTACATAATATATATTAGTATATATAATATATATAATACTCCCTCCCTTCTCTAATACATGGCCCTCTTTCCATTTTGGAAGGTTCTCTATTAGTTGTCTTCCTTTCCACTTTTGGTAAGTTTTTTCAATAAATATACTCATTTACCTTCATTCTCTTTCCTACTTTTTCATTCTCTTTCCTACTATTACCTTTACACACAATCCACTACACCTTTTATCCTACCCCTATTAATTCCTTCTTAAATCATGTGCCAAAGGCTATACTCCTATCCATTAGAGAACGGAGGGAGTATAAATTAATATATATATATATATATATATATATATATATATATATATAATACCGATTGATAAATGTAAATGAGGATCAAGGAGATATTATATTTTCCGTTCCCATAACTCTAGTTTCAATTAAATCATCGATTTGATCATTTCTTATATATTTTGAATAACGTTTACTCTACTTTTAGTTATTGGGCATGTAAATTTCAATTTGTAAATACTAATCACAAATATTCAAAGAAGGTTTCGTACTTGAGCTCGAGTTCGAACCCAAACTTTCGAGATAATTGAACTTGTAACATTTGAGTTGAAGAACAAAAATTATCGAGCCGAGCCGAGTCGAGCCGAGCCATGTCAATATCTGCGAGTCGAGCTCGAGCCCGGATTTTTTAAGCTCGTTCAAGCCGAGCTTAAAAAAGTGCTATCGAAAAATATGTTTTGCAATGTAAAAGTGCTAACATATGTGTTGCAATGTAAAAAATATTAATTTTTTGCATTCTTCGCGCTATAAAATTACATATTTTGTATGATTATAAATAGCCCAAAATTAGAAAACAGTGAATTTAATTTTATTAAGATTAAACAGAATCAAAGAATGTTATATCAAAAAATGTAACAATGTGTTCAAAGTTTCGCAACAAGATTAAGGAGTATTTGAAGTACTTCATTTACAACAGAAAATAATAATTTTTCAATTCAAAATTAAAGAGTTACGTAGTACTATTCTAACATAATAGAAATTTTTTATTTTTAAAATTTAAAATTTTAAGATTGAAATTCATTTTATCTATTTAAAATCAATAAAGGTAAACTTGTCCCTTTGTAAGAACATTAGAAGTACTTTTACACTTTTTAAAAGTTTAGGGAGCGTATATGCACTTCAATATACTCCCTCCGGTTTCAAAAGATCTTGACACTTTGACTTCACAGTTTTTAAGGAAATAAATTTGACTTTACTGTTGAGTACACTGTTTGACACTGTTTGACACTGTTTTGTGTAGATTTATTTGCCAAATAAGGCAAATAAGGAAGTGTAAAGATAATTGTGATGTCGATAAAAATGAAAATTTTAAAGATCTTTCGGAAGGAAATACACTCTAAATGTATACGGAGTATTTTGTGCTGAAAAAACAGAACAAGAGAGTGTATTTGTTCATTTTCCCAACGTTATTTGACCAATAAACATTTGGACTGATCGAGGACGACGGATGTCAAAAATATCAGGAAAACAAGGATTCGGAGGCCTCAAGTCCTCAACAAACTAAGTGATAGTACTTATTAGCGAGTAGCTGTTCACAGGGCCGAACCCAGGAAAATCATTTTGGGGGCGAAAATATTTTTGGGGGGTTCAAAATACTTTTTGGAAGAGGAAAAATCATTTTTCGTATATATATACACTAAAAAAAAAATTGCTGGGGACGTTAGCCCCTGGGTCTGTACTACGGTCCGTCCCCGGCTGTTCACAACTCACGAGTTATTGTCTCAGCTTTATAGATCGATCAGAGGAAGGGCCAGCCAAACGAGGTGGAAGGAGCGAGCTAGCTAGTCAGCTAATTAAACAGAGAGAAAATTAAACTATCAAACATGTCTACTGCGTCAAATTACCAATCCTACCCTCCTCTGTTTCGTCCATCCGCAGAAGCAAAAACAGAGGAGGCGTTAAATCCGGCGGTGGTAAGAGACGCTGACTGCGACGGCGTTCCGGTCATAGATTTCGAGTGCATGACCCACGGGGACGGCTGGGGGGAGATGAGGGCGGCATGCAGGCAGTGGGGTTTGTTCAGGCTGGTCAACCACGGAGTCCCAGAAAAGCTTATGAGTCAAATGCTCGAACGCACCGACAAGCTGTTTTCCATGGCGTTTGAAGCCAAGCAAGAAGCTTTCAGGGACGCTGATATGTCGTACTTCTGGGGAACTCCGGCCGTCACGCCGTCCGGGGCGGCGGTAGCCTCGAAGAGCAGCCGCAGCCCTCATTGGATGGAAGGACTGAACGTGCCACTGAACTGCGTGTCTCAATATCTTTGCGAAGAACCGACACCGTTGAAGTCTTTCAGGTGAATTTGCGGTCCCTTTGTTAAACTATCAAATAAGCCCCCGTAGTATACTGAAAAAGTCGATTAGGCCCTCGTACTTTACAAACACTCAATTAAGTCCTCGAATTATTAAAAAACGCTCAATTAAGCCATTTTGGTGGGTAAGTAACCGATTTCCCGGTTAAACGACGACGATGGCGACGATGTGCTCGAACTCCAGCAACAGCGGCTTCCAGGAAACATGTTACATTTAACCGGGAAACCGGTTACTTACCGACCGAAAGAGCTTAATTGAACGTTTTTTAATAGTTCGAGGACTTAATTGAGTGTTTGTAAAGTACGAGGGCCTAATCGACTTTTTCGATATAGTACGAGGGCTTATTTGATAGTTTTCCCAACACTTTTTACTCACCATTAATACGAAGTACGAAGTATGCTAATTTGGAAATCTCTAACTTCACTTTCCAACCATTATTTAGAGAAAGCATAATTTCCTGTGTTCATGAACGGTACACAAAGTGTATACAAAATCCTTCTAGTTGTCTGTGTACACAGATAATTAATTTGAGAAAGAGCACAATTTGAGGTCAAAATGGTGATGCACACATGCAATGTATAATTTGTGTACACACCAAGAATGGTACTTAGAGAAATGTTACTAGTACACGCCAACTGCACACGCCATTTGACACGTGCCGGACAAATTTGTCACTTGAAAAAATTGGGGGTGCGAAACAAGATTCTCTTTACAAAATGAAAAAAATAGTTCGTGCATAGACAGTGTGACCGACGTGTAAAATGACGTGTACAACTAGTGTGCAAACTTCTATTTTTTGTTTATTAGTATTATTAGTCAACTTTTTCAATACATATACATAACTTTTGATTTTGCGCTTTCAAATATATAATAATCAAAATAAGTACACTTGAAATTACTTTTTTAACTGAATTAGATGAAGTTACTGAAGATCAACATTTAACTATTTTTCATATATTTTTTTTCTTAACATTAAAATTAAGTGCGTAGTATATTTTAAATATAATTTTTTCACAATTCAATACGGCCAATTTAACAACTTGACTGCTAATATCTATTTCGGCACAAAACATGTTCAAGTAACAATGGATATTTTTTATAATGTAAATGGTCAAATTTGCACCGAATTAAATGACCATATATATAAAGAATGACCATTATTAAGTTCAAATTAATAATCAAATGACCACATAAAGAATGAACATATGATCAAGTTTGACTTATCAAATGATTTTTAGTAGTAATTTTATTGACCGTTATTAAACTCGCCGGAGAAGTGCATGAATGTGCTCTTAATTTATCTTACGCTAGTACGATATCATACTTCAATTCAAGGAGTAATTAGATAGAGACGGCCATAAATTTTACCACGTAGTGTATGATTATTAACATTATGTTTTCGTTTGGATTTAAGTTTGTTAATTGTCTGGTCTCGTTATTTTATAACTATAGAAGTCTGGCATGATCTAATCTGATTTAATATCAAATGGTCCAAAAGAAATCACAAGTTATGCATATTTCTGTCGGTTGATATTTTTGTTTGTTTTTCGATTGATTGGTACTCTCTACCTTCACGCCATCTCTTTCTCTCCTGTTTTGTTTCTTTTGTTTTTTGTTGTTTTGTTTTTTGTTTGTTGGTTTAATTTGAATTTGTTCCATTGACCTCTATACGTACTCCGTATGTTTTCATCACTTTTAAATGTTTGGACTTTAATTTGCTGGTCTGATCTGGTCTGATCTGGTCTGGTTTGGTTTGAACTGGTCTGGCCTGGTCTGGTCTGGTTTCTTTGTATTTTTATAACTATCCAAGTCTGGTCTGAGCTGGTCTGGTCTGGTCTGATCTGGGACGAATTACAGTCCAAGTAAAAACATCTGTAGTAATACATACTCATATACTTCGTATATTCTTTTTCCAAAGTTTATCACTCTCATATATTCCTATATATACAAGTGAAGTTAATTTTTGTACCCCGTATAATACAACGTGATAGGAAATAGTATTTTTTTAAAATATTTTAGAATAAAGTATTTTTAGGTAGCTATGTATATATACTCCCTCCGTTCCCAAAAATTCTTCCCGGTTTGACCCGGATCGCTTTTTAATGCAAGGCTAAAAAGCCTTTGACTTTCCAATTAAACCCTTGGAGGGTTGGCCGAAAAAGGGGAGGGGGTAAAAATAAAGTTACTCCTATGAAGAATGATTAAATAAAGTGGGATTTGATAGATGTGATCAAAAAGGTGAATAGTACACCCCAAGCAAAAATTTGGGTTACTACTTCCCTCCTATTTTTGGAGGGACTTTCAAATGTTTTCTTCTACAAATACTCTCATTTCCCCATTGTTTCTCCCAACCTCCCATTACAGCACTCAACACTTCACACACACGCACACAATAAATGTCACCATTTCTTCTTCCATAAATGGCAACTGCCATAAATGTTGATTCCCCTTCACCTTCCATTAATGCGCCTCTTTCATCTTCTTCACCAACCAACCTGCACACAATAACAAATGAGGGTGAGTCAGAAGAAGCAGCCAGCAACAACAAAAGAAGAAGACTGTCAAATGTGGAAAGGGACACTATCATGAATCAGATCCTACTCAGTGCAAAAACAGACTGTTTTGGGGTGTTGGTAGCTCAGAAAGGTGTGTTCAGTAAACTGGGAACTGAATTTAAAGTTTCCAGAAGATCTATTTCAAGCATATGGGCGACTGCTAAAAAACAACTTCAGAAAGGGGACCCGGTGGATGTAACCAGTAGGTGGGCTGGTAATTCAGGAAGGAAAAGAATTGAAGTGGATATAAGCTCCATCTCTACAATTCCACTTTATAAAAGGACCAATATGAGGGCACTAGCTGCTGCCACAGGCATTTCAAAGACAACTTTGCACAAATGTTTGAAAAAAGGTATGCTTAGAAGTCACACAAATGCTATTAAGCCTTTCTTAACAGATGAAAACAAAGTTTCCAGAGTACAGTTCTGTTACAACCAAGTTGATAAGTCAAATCCAGGAAAGCCAACATTCCAGAATTTTCAAAATGTGATACACATTGATGAAAAATGGTTTTTCATGTCAAAAACTTCTCAGAGGTACTACATGGCTTTGGATGAGGAGGATCCTCATAGGGTGTGCAAGTCAAAGAGGTTCATAACTAAGGTCATGTCCCTAGGAGTAGTAGGCAGACCTCTATTTTCAGACACAGGTGAAGTACTTTGGGATGGTAAGGTAGGCATATTTCCCTTCATTCAAAAGGTAGCAGCCAAAAGGAGAAGCAAAAATAGAGATGCGGGGGTGATGGAAACAAAACCTATAGTTAGCATCACAAAGGAAATGTTCAAAGACATGTTAATCAACACTGTGTTATCAGCAATTAAGGCAAAGTGGCCAGACTGCTTAAGCAAGAATATTGTTATCCAACAGGATAATGCAAGGCCACACATTTTAGGGTCAGATGCAGACTACATGGCAGCATCCCAAGCAGATGGTTTCAATATAAGCCTGACTCAACAACCCTCCAATTCCCCAGATCTTAACATACTAGACCTAGGATTCTTCAGGGCAATACAGTCATTGAAAGATCAAAAAGCACCCAGAAATGTTGATGAACTATTACATGGAGTTAATGAAGCTTTCTATGAGCTTTCACCCATCACTTTGAACAAGGTTTGGTTAAGCTATCAATATGTCATGGTAGAAGTTATGAAGGTGGAAGGGGGGAACAATTACAAGCTGCCACACAAGGGAAAGGATAGAATGATCAGAGAAGGGAGGTTGCCCATTGCTATTGAGGTAGATGTTGGACTGCTAGAAGCCATAGGAGGCTTCTTGTCCCAACATCCAACCTCTTCTACAAGCATACAGGAGGAAAGTGATGGGCATTTTATAATTGAAGAGGGTGAAGATGTGCAGTAGGTTGCAAAAAGATTTTTGGTTATTTTGTATAGGCCTTTTTTTGTCATTTTTGTACAGGCCTTTAGAGTCTGTAAGATGAAGTGTGTAAAGGTAAAGCCCCAACAGACTCATAGGAGTAGCTAGCCCTATATGTAGGAGAGGCCTAGATTTTTGTCATTTTGTAGAGGCCTATTTTTGGTCATCACAGCACCCATACAAGTAAAGCTCAGACCTATTTGGTCATCACAGCCCTCATACAAGCATTGGTCAGACCAATATGGTCAACACAAGACCCATACAAGCATTGGTCAAACCTATATGGTCATCACAGCACCCATACAAGTAAAGCTCAGACCTATTTGGTCATCACAGCCCTCATACAAGCATTGGTCAGACCAATATGGTCAACACAAGACCCATACAAGCATTGGTCAAACCTATATGGTCATCACAGTACCCATACAAGTAAAGCTCAGACCTATTTGGTCATCACAGCCCTCATACAAGCATTGGTCAGACCAATATGGTCAACACAAGACCCATACAAGCATTGGTCAAACCTATATGGTCATCACAGCACCCATACAAGTAAAGCTCAGACCTATTTGGTCATCACAGCCCTCATACAAGCATTGGTCAGACCAATATGGTCAACACAAGACCCATACAAGCATTGGTCAAACCTATATGGTCATCACAGCACCCATACAAGTAAAGCTCAGACCTATTTGGTCATCACAGCCCTCATACAAGCATTGGTCAGACCAATATGGTCAACACAAGACCCATACAAGCATTGGTCAAACCTATATGGTCATCACAGCACCCATACAAGTAAAGCTCAGACCTATTTGGTCATCACAGCCCTCATACAAGCATTGGTCAGACCAATATGGTCAACACAAGACCCATACAAGCATTGGTCAAACCTATATGGTCATCACAGCACCCATACAAGTAAAGCTCAGACCTATTTGGTCATCACAGCCCTCATACAAGCATTGGTCAGACCAATATGGTCAACACAAGACCCATACAAGCATTGGTCAAACCTATATGGTCATCACAGCACCCATACAAGTAAAGCTCAG